CTGCCATTGAAACAATAAACATACTGAAGTGCATGTGTAAAACATTGTATTTGTTTTATTATTACTTTCAATGATACAGTGTACAAGAATATAATTTTTGGTTTATGTGAGCTTATAGTATAGTATATTTTATTTGACACTAAATAATATATTTTGTTACATTATCTGTGGTCAAAAGACATTATATATATAACAAAATTGGTCTCAAAAATAGGTATTGATGCGAAAAACTAATGTATATCTGAGAAATGGCTCCTGACATGAGTGCACAGAATGAAAAAAGTGTTTTGAAACATAAAACCATACCATCCTATTTATCATCTTGAATTTTAAATACAAACAAAAACAGTGGTACATGTGCCTTGCCAATATTTGTCCAAGAGTTACTATACCTAATGACAAACTTTGCTATTATGCTTCCAATTTTTGAAAAAAACTGTGCAGTAACTAAACTGGCCTGTGCACAGGATGCATGTAATGCTGTAAAGTAGACGAATGGGTCTCAACGTTTATTTATTTTACAAATAATTCCAGACTTGACACTGACAACAGATTGCTGATAGCATATATTTCATTTGACTGTAGCTTGAAAACAAAGGCAGATAAAAAACAAAACAAGACACAATTTTTTAGCCAAACCAGAGGCCATTTGCATGACTTTCTATACTACATCTGAACAGGAACTAAATATATCTTCAACTAGTAATTTAAGGATTTTATATGAAACTTTGACGTTTGATTCATTCACATATCTGATAATATTTAGCCTATTAACATCATCATGGAAATAACAAATGAAATTCTTTCCATTTTCCAGCAGATTCATTTCTGTGAAAATTTGCATGAGGTTGTTATTATTATGCATAATATGTAGTAATGTGTTACATGATAAAACATATTCTGCCTAAAAACACTATTTAAAACTTTTGCTTTAGTTTTGAGTTAGGCCATGGAGGTAGAAAAGAGAAGGAGTGAGGACGCTATTGTTTCCGCTGGTTTCATGATGCTTTGGATTTGTTTACTCACATACACATTGTAATTAGTTTGCAAACACGCTGTACAATGTCACAGTTAATCGGCTTACGTGTTTCGGCTGTATATGGAAGCTTCACGAAGATTCTCAACGCACTGCGCATGCCCAAACAGATAACAATAATACAAAATGCGGCGAAAGACTACGCTGAGTGTACTCAACGCCCGAAATCTATTACAACAAAATGCGCGATTTTAAACATCTGCACAGTTCTGCACACCAATGAAAAAGGACTCGTCAAAACATCTTGTTATAATCTCATCATGTATCTTTAAATTTCACTGCGGAAATTTGCGGGATTTTTTTAATTAATGCAGTGTTCTCCCCAGGCTCAGAGGCAAGCATAGCGGTCTAATTTGCATGCTAATTTGCATACTAATTTGCATATTTTTCAGGATTCACTCTCACAAAAACAAACATACAAGACAATATTAAAATGTATGAGAGACTTTATTTAAATTACATAATACTTTACATAATATACCATAATTTGACAAGATCGTCATTTAATGTGAACTGTTCCATAAAACTTAGTCT